CATTTACTATGGTTATTTTTGACTCAATAGGAGATAGAATAGTTTTGCCATAAATACTGTTCAGAATGAGCTTTATATTTTCTTGCAAAGGATTTCCTTCTTTCTTATACTTTAACCTTAACTCAAACAACTTCTTTACTTCATCTCTTATTCTAATATCTCTGTTTCCATCGTAATAGTATCCTTGCAACACTTCACATTTGACACCTTGATATTTTATGAGGTCTTGTAATGTTATATGGTCAACATACATTAAACAGCAAGTGTTTGAACTTCTGGGAACGTTAAGTTCTGGATTTAGTTCAGGGTCACAAACTATTAAAGGAAAGTGTCTATGTATTCCAATCTCTGTTATCTTAATGAGAACAAAGAAGCCAGACATAAACTTTTCACCAATGGGTTCCTTTTGGTCGTCATCGAATAAATGTCTCATGAGATACTCTGTGCTTAACATTTCTTTCTTCATAACCTTTGGAATACCTTCTAAAGTATAAAGTCTTGCTATAGCTGATGGATATAATGAAACAGCGTCGAAGTCAGCAATGAGTTTCTTTTCGCTCTTTTGTTTCATGTTATCTGACAGCATACATCTTCCACCTTGAATACAGCGTGAAATAAATTCTCTTGGTTTATTTGAGAGGTCATATAAATTTCCATTCGGGAAGTACACTCTGTTCTCAAACAATTTGTTAGCAATTGAACAAATACTAACGTAGTCATAAACGTTTAAATCAAATTCTTTCAATATGTCATTGCGGAACTTAACAAAACCTTCTCTTAAAATTCTTACATCTTGTTTGCAATAAAATGTGCTATACTTTTCTAAGTCGAAGTGGTTTCATCTATTCTGCAACCTTTGATGGAATCTATGTTTTTCATGAATGTATCTGCATCCCGGATAAACTTACATGCTTCAGAAATGACACCAGTTCTGTTGTCATTTGCTAACAAAACACTGCTGTAGTAGTTGTATGGAAATACTTCTTTCGGTCCTGTTTGTAAGTTAAACATAGCAGGAAATAGTTTAAGCTTCTTATTTATAACACTGTAAGAGTCTTTTATAATAATTGCCCTTCCTTTATATAAGCCAGTTATTTGCATTGTTCGTGAACCTTTAATGATGGGAGTTCCTTTCACTTCTGTCATGTGTCTTAAGATGAAGTTTATATCATAACTGAGGTTATGGAAATATATTAAACTCTTGTCAGGAAGTCGTTCCAAAAATTCTGTTGCACAGTTCTGACCCCAAATGCTTTCACTCACTGAACCATCTTCACTGTCATAACAGATGTTAAAAGCTTTATGAAAGCCATCGGTACTACACTCAAAGTCAGCAAAGAAAACGTGCTCAGGAATGAACTTGCACTTATTTTTATTTACTTCTTTTGACTCGGCTTTCTTCTTCAGTTGTACACAATACTTTGGAGCATATGTCAAATCTTTAAATGGTGCAAGGTTCTGTTTATATAAGTCAGTCGTATATGTGAAAAGTTCTCCATAAGAAATAGGTTCGAAATATTTGCACTCCCACAATGTTTTCATAACATCCCATAACGGTGTTGTTCTATCATAACGAACTACATATTTATCTTCTCTCTTTGTATAAATCTTCATTTGTTTCTCAATGTTCATTCCACCACACTCCTTCAAGATTTCTATATAGTTGCGAATGAAATATGTTGTCATTGGTAATCTTTCATTTAGCATGTAGTGGTCTTCAACAAGAAGTAAGTCAATAGTTCGAACAGTTTCACATTCTTTTGGTATGTATCTCTTTATTTCATTATGTCTTGAGTCATTGAAATAACCAATGGTAACATTAAATGCTATACCTGTTGCGTCAGAAATTTCTTGTACTTTACTTTGAGGAAAGTCTCTAACACGAATGACTTCTCTCATGTGGTCAATAGTTTCTTCATTTACTCCAGCCTGAATGCAAGCATAAACGAACAATTGTCTTCTGTCATAAGTGTTGCAGTTCTTTTGTTCAGTTCATTGAAGATTTGGTAGCGTTCAAGATTTATAGGTAATGTGCAAAGATACTTCCAGAACTGACCGCTTCTCTTCTTATAAAACTTCTTTTCACCATTATCTTTCCAAAAGCTTTCTATAAGTGCTGGGTTTCCTGTTTGCTTAAGAGCTTCCAAAATGGCTTTCTGGTCATTTGTCAGTGTGCTTTCATCTCTATATGGTCTCTTTTTTGGTTTGCCTTTCTTTACATCTGACATCGTTAAGCCTTCATATTCTGTTAAATCATACATCTTTATTTCGGTAAGATTCTTTATGTTTGTCAAGAAGAAGTCATAGTGCATTTCAACAATACCTGCAGCATTTGCTTCTATCTCTGATATAAAGTTCTCCTTCAAGAGCTGATGTAGTAATGTTCCAATATTATTGAGGTTTAACGTAGAACATTCATACTTTCCACCAAGTTTATAACATACCATCCATCTCTGTTGTGAGTTTATTTTAATTTTCTCTAAGAGTCTCATGAAAACCTTACCGAAATGTTTGTGTAAGTAGTCTCTGTTTGGTTCATCTAAAGCTTCGATGTTAAAGTCAATGAGTCTATTGCCTGACTTCACATTTCTCTTCCTATTCTCTTCATCTTTCTTTAACCATCTCTCACCTTCTTTTGGTTTGTCGTCAATGGAACGAATGACATCGTTAGCTTTGCGAACTTGTTCTATAGCGCTCTTAAACATCTCTCTTCTCTGTTGTTTCAGTGTGTCGTCTCTTCTTCTTGTTTCACCAACGTTTGCATTTGTTATGTCAAACATTTCTCTTCTTACTTCATGAGGTACTGAACGTCTATGATATAAGTCAATAGCAACGTCATTTAAAGGAAATGCTCTTGCATGGACTTCGTCCTCGCCGCGTTGCGGCTTTATGAACTCATGAATTCTATCATAACTTATTGCACCATTGTAGTCTTTAATGAAGTCAGCGAGTGCTTTTTTGTTTGTTGCGTAATGTTTTGCAACATCTATGTTAGCTTCTGTAAGAAGTTGTTTTATTTCCGAGTGTTCTAACTTAGACAACTTCCGATACATCTTTAGTAGGAAATAAAAAAATATTTTTTGAAAAAATTAGATTAGATTTTTTAAGTTATTTTTCAAAATAATTTAATATTTTTATTTTAATGAAACACATGCAAGATTGCAAGTTCTTTTCATACAATGCTCTCGCTACTGCCATCAAGAATGAGTTCAATAATGCTTCAAATGTTAATGTTATCTTTAACAAGAAGTTTGTGAAAGAATCTAAGTTTGGTCAGTATGTCAGACCATTAGCTATCGTCATTGACCGCAAACGTTATACTTCACAAGAGTTAGCAGTAGTTTTGAAACAAAAGAGTTTCTTCGTGAATGTCAAAGATACTCATTATACTGTTATAAAGAACTCTAATATTGACTTCTTCAGTATTGCTTTAAATCTTTCCGAATAGAAAGAATATAAGAAGGGTGAAACAAATGTGAAATATTATCCTTCATCTCTGAAGACAATAACGAACAAAGATGTTATACAGAAATTCTTACCAAAGGTTGAAGAAGCTTCTATTGACATTGACGAAGGAAGTGAAATGGTTGAAGAAATAGACCCTGAAGCTATTTAAGCAAAAATATATTTTTGAATAACTGATGGTGTCACTACGTCACCATGTCACCAGGTTAATTAACTTCTTTTAAAAATGATGACAACATGACATTTTGACAACACAGCAGGATTAATGCAAAAATGAATGTTATCGTTTATGTTATCGTTTATGTTATCGTTTATGTTATCGTTAATGTTATCGTTAATGTTATCAGTGTCGAACATAATTGACATGGAGCATTTATGTTATCGTTTATGTTATCGTTAATGTTATCGTTAATGTTATCGTTAATGTTATCGTTAATGTTATCAGTGTCGAACATAATTGACGTAGGATTCATGACTTCTTCGTAAATGAGTGTAAATATAGCACAAAAATATATTTTAGGTGAAGAGGTGAGATCTCACCCGTTTTCTCACCTGTTTTCTCACCTCATTCTCTCTTCGTTAATGTTGTCGTGACTTCATCATTAATGTTGTCGTGACTTCATTCTTCCTCTTTGAAGTTATCGAAATATTCTGTTATTTTTTCCTTCAGTAATGTTAAGTCTTCTTTGAATGTAAGTATTGTGCAACCTTTGATGTCATAGTGTGTTTGAGGAAGAGTATTTTTGACAATTTCCTTTATTTGTTCATTCGGTGTCATTGAAATCGGTAAGTTTTCACGATAGAACCAGTTTCTGTCAGATTTATATATCTTAGCTAAGTCATAAAAGCTCTTGTTGTTTCTTCTGACTAAATGTAACATAACCATATCTTTATCTTCTTCATTTTCCAACTCTTCAGTATAAATCATATACTTATAACTCTTTTCCTTTCCTTTTGGTACTGAACGCGGTATTCTTTTCTGTATGCTTTTGTCTTTGGATTCAATGACTTCATCTTTTGCTTGAAGTTTCTTTTCCATCTCTCCACGTTCTGCTTTATATAGTTCATCTAACATCATGAAAATATAACAAGCATAACGAGGTGAAGCCCATATTGCTACAGCGTTTACTAAAAGTCTATGAACATAATAACCTTTCAAACCAGGAGCCAAATTCTTGCGATTTTCATACGGAATCTCTTCTCTCGGTTTTCCGAGGGAAGCAATCATATGAGGAAATTCTTCTAAAAGTTCTTTTGTCTGTTGGTTTTCAAACCAATGATATGCTTGCTTTGTAGAACGAAGAGCATTCATTATACTTTGCATTTGGTACATGTCATCTTTGACTGAACGAATGAGACGTAACTGTTTGTTATACTGTATGTACTCGTATTCTTCATTTATGGCTTCATGAACGATAGCAGTTGTTGTGTTCTCTGATGTTGACATTACTGTCTTTACATACAAAATAAAAAAATAAATAAAAATAAAACTAACTTTATTTTCTGACTTTCACAAAAGACCAAAAATAAACGCTTTACATGTATTTTTCAGCAACTTCGTCAAATAATTTTATAGCTTTATCTATCTCATCTACTTCAAACGTTTCTTTACCTTTCGTGGGAGCACCATACATTTTCTCAAAAACTTCAAGCAGTTCTGTTTCAGCAGCTCTCATATCATTAACAAACACAACCTTGACTCTATTGACTGTACTGTCATATCTTTGAGTTATATTATATGTCCTTCCTATCTTATATCTTTTTGTGTTGAAGTCCTTCGGTTTCTGAACGATATAAAGTAAGCCTTCACTGCAACGTTCCGTATCGAATGAACCATATGTTATGAAGTTATATCCAACAACTGGGTCTAACCATAACAAAACTATTGGTATAAGACTTTTGTCTATAAGATATGCTCTTGTTCCATGAAATGCTACTGATATCATAAGCTCAGGATTTCTTGTCAAAATTTTCTGAGTTGAAGCATTTCTAACCCAGTCGTTTGTTTTCTTTCCAGATGGAGATATAATGTCTGACAAAGAATATTTGTTGTATTTCTTTGAGTATCTTACGTTTAAATCACCTATTCTAACCACTTTGGTGTCATTGTCTATCTTTCTAACTGTTTCAAACTCAATGTTTGTCATTACTGTCTTTACATACAAAATAAAAAAAAATAAATAAAAATAAAATTAGCGTTATTTTTCTAACTAATAAAATTCATTATTTTTGTGCTGAATTCAATAAAAATAATTTTTAGGTGAAGAGGTGAGATCTCACCTTTTTTTCACCTAATTTTTCACAAGCGTTTTACATGAATTGTACGATGTATATTTGAAATCCTAAACAATTTCGTAGCTTCAATTTCTTCTTTTAGTACATCGAATGTTTTAATCGTGCCGAAAGTCTCTTTATATTTCTTCTTGACGTCAGACAGAAGGAAATCTTCTGCTGTTGGATAGTTTTTATTAAGAAATGTCAACATATCCATTTTATCTTCTGCTGGCTTTTCTGCTTCTTTCTTTAAGTCTGCATAGTCGTTTCGCATTCTTTATATCTCTTTGACTGAGTAGTTATATTTTCTTATTGCTGCTTTACATTTTGAACATTGCGGCATCGTTTTTGCGTTACACATTGAAACATTACCAGCTAAAACAACTAAAGCGTCAATTGCTCTCTTCATCTCAAACATAGCGGGTCTTATTTGTTCGTTCCATACTTTGTCTCTTCTATCTTTATCTCTTATTTCCCAAACACATTCAGCAACTAATGAAACAAAGTTGTCGTATGTCTTAAACTCCACCGATTTATATATGTCAGAAATATTTTTATAAACCATGTCGCAATCTTTGTCCATAACTTTATGGTTGCAATGAAAACCAAGAAATTCATAATTTACTTAACGTATGAATTTCTTTATTTCTACTGAGTCAGTTGCTTTGACTTCAATTTCGTCGAATTCAGGAATAGTTAGTTTTTGCTGCTGAACTTCAGGTAGTTTAGGCAAATGGTCAATAATATCCTGCATGTCATAAAGATACTGTTCATTTGTTTCATCTTTCGCACTACAGTCTAAATTACTTGTTAAAAGTTCTTGCTTTATCTTCTGGATTTCTGTTTCAAAAGTATATGAAGAAGGAATAAAGTTTTTCATCTCTATCAACATTGACGTAGGATTCATAACTAACGAGTTTGGTGCTGTAGTTTGAATTGTTGTTGTACCGATTGTTGAAATCATATCTTTTATACAAAATAAAAAAAAAATAAATAAAAATAAAACTAACTTTATTTTTTCTATCTTAAGGAAATTCATGAAAATTCACGAGAAAGCTAAAGCAATCTGAGCCGCTAAGCGGTGAGGGTGAGAAAACAGGTGAGAAAACGGGTGAGATCTCACCTCTTCACCTAAAATATATTTTTGGTGTAAATTTATGACAAAAATAAATGGTACCATTAATGATATCATGACTGTTCTTATTCATGTCTGATTTACATCTAATGAAAAAGTTTAGAAGAATTTTCTTATTCTTTCTGGCTTATTTTTGTCTTTCCAGTACTCCCGCTCTAATGGTCCCAGATGTGTTGACTTTGACTCTCTCAAGTTCTTAGATGGTATAACATCTTCAACGCCTCCTTCATATCTTACTTTATAAGTGTCATCGTTTATGTTATAGCCAAGTATTTCAATAACCACTCCTCGCTTTGCTTCGTCAATGGTTTCAGCAAGTTTGCCATTACTACTTTCAACTAATTTATGTCGAGGGTAAAACGCAATAGAGTCGTCAGTAGCTTTTATAAGATATCCATTACCTTGCGTAGAGTCTACGATATAATAGTTTCGACTTAACCTTAAACGTTTCTTTGTCAACGGTTTGTCGTCAAGAACTACACGAACTTGGTAAAAAAGGGGGTTGGCGTCCTAAGGCGTCCTAGTGTAAATTTCTCAAAATTGTGATATTTACATCACATTTTTGAAAGGTTTATGGGCGTCCTAAGGGAAAATTGAATAGCTAGGGCGTCCCGAATTTTCATTCTAAGATTTAAATATATTATATACTTAAGTATAATACAAGCAATATAAAAATTAAATTTTTATTATGTTAACTTATAAGAAATTTTTTTGAATTATCGTTGATTTATTGTAATCTTTCCAGGCTATACTTTTGAAATCAACTTTACCTGTCATACGCATTAATGTAGTAGATGTCCAGGTGTAGCTATTATATCCCAGCAACATTGGTATTTTATCATTGTAAGATATCAAAATGAAGCGTTTTTTCAGATATAATTTTTCGTAAATTTTTCAAAAATAAGATGGTAAAAAAGTCTCGACTTGCTCGAAAAATAACAATTTTTTTACTTGTAAAAATAACCCTTTTACAGCATGGGCAGCTATTCAATCACTATTTCTTTTTCTAAAAGTATATTTTTCAAAAAAAATTAAGATCAAATTCGACAATTTCTTGATGAAAGCAAAAATATTACACATACTTCTAGATGCATGGTATAAAATATGCAATTATTCAATCAATTCGCATGATTTGAAAAAAAAATCTAAATTTGATAAAAATGTAGAAATTTTTTATTTTTAACTTGAGATTCGATTTTTTTGATCCAATTTGTGAATTTTTTTTGATCGGAATTTCAATTAATTTGTTGATCAAAAATGACCTCACAATGTTTGATCATAAGTGAAGTCATCTTCATGGGTATTTAGAAATTCCAAGAGAAATTGCTTATTTCTCGCAGATGTAATATCTGAGAAAATCGAATTTAAATATTCATAGAAACCCAAATCATTCTCCGGTTCGAATAATTCATCTGTTGCTTTTTCTGTTTTTTCTATGAATTTTAATAATTTGATTAATAAATCTTCATCAGGAAGAATTATTGCTGCATTTGTGATAAAATTCCATATTGAGGTAATATGGCAATAATTACATTTATAAAATGTAATTTTATCCAAAATTTTTTGGCAAATTCGCATAATAGCATTAATATTTGAAGCTGAGATTAAACCTGTGATTACTTCTGTAACTTTTGGAAAATCATCGCAATTTAATATCTCTTTATATTGAATTGAGAAATAAAAAAAATCAAATGGATTCATTTCTTCAATTTCAAGGAGATTGTAAAAATTGATAGAAGTGTTATTGCAACAAATTGTATTTGCAGCAAAAAATATCATTTGCTCGATTCCATTTTTGGAATAAATTTGCTGGAACAATGTTAAATTAAAACAGTTGCTTAATTTTTCTTCATTGTTTTCATAAAAAAGTAACAAGTTTGCAACTGAAATTTCAAAATTTTGATAATTGCCAGTTATTTCAGTAAATATATATATTTGCTTTTCTTCATCTAAAAATGGCAAATATTGATTTGCAATATTAACTAAAGTTTGGGATAAATTGTTCCAGTTTGATTTTACAATTTGTGAGCACATTATGTAATATGTAAATTTATCCGCTTTGTAGGAATTTAAAATTGTTTGTTGTTCTGTTTCAGTTAAATTACTGAATTTTTCAAGATTAATATTGTGATAAAAAATAGAATCCTTGAAACATTCTGATATCTTTTCAATGTTTAAAACGGATGCTAAAAAATGTAAAAGAACTTCATCAGTCACTGTGATTTTTTTGAAAAATTTATCCCAATTCAAGCATCCAATTGATCTTTCTGTCATTGTACTTATGCATTGATAAAGTTGATTTAATGAATCCGAAGAATAATCATTATGCTTGACTAGTTGAGTTAGTTGATACAGACTGTCGTCAGCCATTTTAAAAAAATGAATAAAATTGTATAGTAAATTATATTTGTGAAATTTGTGACGCTACATTCAATCTAAGACCAATATCTCAAAGAATTCCTCATTTAAGTATTACTTTTCATTGTTTTTTAAAAAATATCTTTGCTTATTTGTTCACTTTTTTGACATTTATTATATGCTTTTTATCATATTTCCGATGATATGAATATATATTCTATATAAGAATGACGCTACATTCAATCTAAGACCAATATCTCAAAGAATTCCTCATTTAAGTATTACTTTTCATTGTTTTTTAAAAAATATCTTTGCTTATTTGTTCACTTTTTTGACATTTATTATATGCTTTTTATCATATTTCCGATGATATGAATATATATTCTATATAAGAATGACGCTACATTCAATCTAAGACCAATATCTCAAAGAATTCTCATTTAAGTATTACTTTTCATTTTTGATTCAATTTTCGAACGGTTTTCGTAAATTTTGCATCATTTCATTTTTTAATGGGAAAATCATCTATATTTAATCAAAAAAGAGCAAACTTTACAGACGAAAATAAAATATTTATCAGGGAACAATCTGATAAATACCAAAAATCAACATCGAGAGATGAAAAAACGAATATAATCAAACAAGTTCTTCAATATTTTAATATTAAATACGCCGAAAATGAATCTAAAGCTGTCAGAAGATATTTTAGTTATATTGCAGTTAAAAATATTCCCGCAGTTACTGGAAAATATCCTGATACAATTGTTCGCAAAGATATGCTTTATTCGCATGATCATACAAATATTATTAATTCAAATAATATTGAACGTTACTACCGTTGCATCGATCATTCTTGTCAAGCACGTTATTTAGTTAAAATTGAGAACAGTTCAGTTTCCGAAGATTTACAAAAGGAACATATACCCGAATGCAGACAATTTAAAAAGTTACAAAATGAAAAAAATGATCTTCATAAATCAATGACTCTGACAGAAATATACAATAAGGCAATGGCAAAATTTTCTGAAGACAACGGCACTTTTCAGCAGATTAAAAAATTTATGACAGAACTTGCTGTTGGTACTGATGAAAACCCATTAATTAAAGATTCATTGGTCAGGGAAGTTTATAATAAGTCCAGAAAATTTTCTGTTGGAGAAAAAATTACAGACGATGAAA